ACGATTGTACTACAATGGATATGGTAAGATAGAGCTCTGTGCGTAACAAAAACTAGCATTTTGTTGCTACATGATGTGCGTTTGCTACAGATAGCCACGACTGTAAATGAAGGCAGCACTAAAGATGTTAATCTCAATTATGTCTAAAAATGATGCAATGCTGTTCTGTGTTTGTGTAGCTTGGCGTTGTTCGCAGTTTGGATTATCGCTTTTGGGCCGCCTCTTGTTTTATTCTGTCGACAGCTCTTGCACGCTGGTATGGGCCGCTTACCTGTAGCTGGCACGGGTAATACTGATGGCCGCTCACTGAGCTGTGAACACGATGATTCAACTGTTGTTGGAGGTGGAACAATTGAAAGCTGTGGCTGATGGGATGCTATATTAGTAAGCTCTTTCGCTCGCGCAGACGCATGCGAATATTATTTTGGTCCGTTTTGGCGGTCGGGGGGTGCTTCATGTACTCTTGGGGTAAGACTTTCCACTGTCTTGTACAACCTTTCCCCATTTTCGCTTACTTTATAGATAACAGACACCCCTAACTCCGCTACGTTTGACTGCACCTTCTTGGAGAGCTCTGCAGCAACCTTTGCAAGCTCAGCCAAGCATTTGTATAATTTGGTCGTACTGTATTTTTTATCACACCTCGAGCTCCGTAGCCTCGAGCTCCTTAGATTTTCCCGTCCTAACTTTCCCTTGACGGGTGTGCGAACCCATAGAAAGTCGATGACGTCTCATAAAACGGCGCTACCAACAGGGCGAGGCCCGAAATTAGTGATACCAAGCATTTTAGCGGCTGTCAATGCCTTAAGACGCAACATTGAGGCTGTGACCGGAACGCCTTCGGCGCGAAGGGGGTCTACCCAGTGCAGAAGCGCTCGCTCAGTGGTGGGTGGAAGAACTCCTGACGGCCCTGCTGCGCAGCCTTTTTTCTTACTTTTTACCCCGTACAGCTTCGCAATTAGCAACGGTATTGTCATACTTACATGCCCACTTGAGGACCAAAACGCGGTCGCCTTGATACTTCTCTTCTAATAAGTCGGGAAAGAAAAAGTGGATTGTATACCGAATGTTTAGATGAAGACGGAGGTGCTCCGCTACGGCCTTCTTCGTCGCAGCAGTATACGAAGAGATGATGTGCTTGCTTTATTGCCCCCAGACAAAGCGAGGGCGACCGACGGGAGGGGCTCACGTCATTTAAGAAATGAGAATTTACTGGCTTTGGACTGCTGTATCTCTCAGCAAATAGAAGGCAGTAAATATAAATACTAAATTTTGATTGGTCAACTCGAGTATGTACCCCATTCACGAAGAGCATATTCGGTAGTCAGAACCGTAAAAAAATGTTTGCTGCCGGTACAGAATATATATCCGAGCCGGCTGAATCTGTAGCAAAACCTCAGTATGATACAGTGCCGTTGCCAATGGTTCAAGCCGTCGTCGAAGCTACTGAAAGCAGCGTCGCAACACCCGAAACTGGCAATGATATGAGCTCGAAGTCTGCACAAGATTCCAGTATCTCTGCACCTGCTGTTCTACTCGTGTCTGTGGTTAGCAACGAAGAACATCTCCGAAAGGCAGCCTCGGATGTCGTGGCCCCCTTGTGTCCCATCTCACCGCCAACACTCGAATTAATTACAGCTCTTCAATTTCCTCCTTGAAATACTGACCTCGAAAAAAACTACGAGAATAAGCAGGATCGAACAGGAATTTGTTCTGTTAAAAACAATTCTGCTCATTGTCAATGGAATTAAGCTAACCACCCAGTATTATATTGTAGCGGTACTTCTCGGTAAAACAGTTTGGGTCCGAAGGGGAGGTAAAATCAAAGAGAGGGCTACAGTAATGCTCTTGGGAGATTTCAGTGGCAACAACTTTCATCCCTTCATAGCTCCAAGTCGAAGCCCTCAACCATTGCAACGCGGCGTGAAGGCGATAGGAGGCTCCGCCACGGATTCGGCATTACTATCTGGAGCAAATTGGGCCCTGCTGAGCAACGGGACAATGTCCAGGTCCATGGTAACGCGAAAGATATTGAGCTGTTTGTTATGCATAAATTTTATTTACTAATTATTGAATAGTCATCTGTCGGTGGAATTTCTTCGTTATCATTTTGGAGCACGGCCGAACATGAATTCTCCCATTTTCCTACTAGGGACACTGGTCCGCTGACGCCATTCAGTGTGGCATGGGGTTGAAGGTCGAGCTGCTGAAGGTGCCACCGAAAGCTGCATCGGTCTGTCAACCGGCTGACACGACGTGGAATGGGCCCATGAAGTGCCGATTGCGTGCAAAATGGGTTAACCCCTTGCGGGAGCAGCTTTTAGCTAGAGATGTAACGATACCATTCAAACGAAAGCCATCAGCGCGATCAATGATATGCATCTGTGTGAGCTCTGCATGGAATGAAATACCTGCCTCCATCATCGCAGGGGGTACATGTATCTGTGGTCATGGAGTCTACACGCATGGAGGAGTAGTTTGCAGAACCCCTCGGGTCCCTTTTTTAGCAGAACTCTTCTCTCCATCATAGTTAGCGCATCGTACGCAACCAGCACTTCTTCAAACATGATATTCATCTGTCACTCGTATGATCTTGTTGAAGTGAGCAAAGCGGATCTACGATCGCAGTAAGTATCTCGTGCTCCCAGGACAAAGGACTACAGGTGAGTGCCTATAGCGATGTAGATAACGCGAACTGCCCAGCTACTTCGAGGTCGGTGTCGGGATTCGTGCTGTAGCTCAATGGACACGCGGTAGGCTCCAAAAGCAAAATGCAATCGTTGGTGACGGACGATACGTGCAAGTCTAAGCTGGTGTGCTGAGGACATACTTTGGACAAGAAATATAATTAAAGAGCTCGGATTTGGCAAGTGGACAGGAAAGCTTTACGTTGACAATCAAAGTACGATCAAGGTCTGCACGGACGTAGGAGCCTTCGACGGGGTAAAGCGGTTTGCGAAGAAGAGCAGGAGACTATCGGAACTAGTCGAGTGAGGGAAACTCTATATTGAGTATGTAGCCACGGAGGAGAACATCGCCGACATGTTTACGAATGCGCTGGGACTTTGAAAGGTTGCGCAAGAGGTTGGGCGTAGAGGATGTCGGAGACGTGGTGAAGCGGGTAAACCTTGGCAGAAGATCGGCATGTACCGAGGCTGATGGAAGGAACTGTTAAATTCAGTCTTGTGTTGAAGTCAACAGTGACACGGAGACAAGGGTTCCGGGGGAGTGTAAGCCTTGAAGCGCTAAAGCTGGGAACTCTTGTCTGTGTCGAGGCAATTCAACTAGACTGATTGGGGTAGACTTGTGGAAGTTTCCACTTGTCTAAAGGGGGGGGGTCTGTTTGGAACTTTCTTCTCGTGCTGTGGTTTGGCAGTACCGAACTCCCTGAGTTATGACATTCAGAAAAGTGTTCGCACATAGACCAGAAATTGCATGTACTGCCTATCCAAAGTGTTCATCAAAAAATATAAATCAACTAATAGATCTATTGCTGTAGACTAATATGTACAACGACTCGGAACATGTTGTCAAAATCATCGTCCAAACCAAATTCTCCTATCTCCTTGTCTAAATCCCCCGATGTTAGGACTTTATTCACTATGGCATTTGCATCATCGTGCGCTGGGGTACTTTCAGGCTCAATAAAATGCACAGTGTTACTTCCTTTCTTCGCAAGTGTTTTTATTGGGTAGATACTCGAAATTCACAGCTAAACCCATTCAAAATTATAGTTAGAGCATAAAAAAAATATTAAAACAAATTTGTCAAACCTGTTTGATCTGCATTACAGTATATATACGAGCCACCCTCAGCTTACGAGCCTTTTGCCTGACTTCTGCAGCAAAAGTAGCCGGCATTTGGGCGAGTTCCGGTGGCTGAATCTACCCTTGTCGCGTTTTGCAACGCAGAAAAAGTCGATGACGCTCTTTGAAAAGATTTTGCCAGCACCACGCCGCATTAAAAAAGGTGATGATAGCTTTCTCTGCTAATTCTTGAGCTTGAATGCGTAACATAGCTGCAGTGACAGGCACCCCTTCCTTCCTCAAATCATTAATTTAGCGTACTAAACAAAGATCCTTATCTTTTGGCAGCACCGTACCCTCACCTTTCGCTCGTGATTTTTTCTGGTTGACACCGCCACATTCGTCGCATAACTCTACGAGTTCAGGCCGTGTTCGGCGCCAATAATGAATAAGTGTACGGCGGCTGTCATATTTAGACGAGGAAGATCAAAATAGAAATTACTGATTGTTCGCTTGATGTCCCCATCGCTTGCCAAGTCGCCTAGGACCTCTAGTTGGTGCGCCGCTGTAAAGGATGACACGAGTTTTTTTTCTTCACTTTACGGCCTCGGCCTCCTGAAAGTCGTGGTCGCCCTTTTGGGCGGCGGCGTTGCGTAGGAGCCATCCGATGGCAAAATATACAGACAGAAAGACAGTTCGTACGACTGAATGCGATAACTAAGGATGCACGGAGATCTTTCCCGTTCGGCCTCTAATTGGCCGAGCCCCTCCTGAATGTCATAACAAATAGTACGGGATAACTAAGGGAATTCGGTACGTTCAGATAAGAGCTAATATTACTTCGGATTTATCCTACAGCTACACAAGTCCACTTATCTCTTACCTTTCAGAAGACGACGACGTACACGGAAAACCGTATTGCAACTCCGGAGCTGACGACTTTCTGTACTGGGACGACTAGTGTGGCACTGAAGACAACAACTTGGAGCGCGAAAGCTGCTACAAACATGATACCCATTCGTCACTCTTGTAATCTTGTTTCAGTGAGCAAGCGATCAACGATCGCCCTAAGTATCTTGAAACAACTGCACTCCGTTTTCGCTCGAGGGGGCAATGATAAGGTTCTCGATCGAGAAACGGGGTGGGCTGACATAACCTGTAGAACGTTCATATATTACAGTAACACTGCATTGAGGAATTGGGAACCAACTGGTTGCAAATAGTCAGATATCACCATACAAATCGCTGCTTTAGCACGGTCCCAATTATTCACAGAGTCATTCAATCGGTAGGTGCGACGGGCGGTGTGTACAAAGGGCAGGGACGTAATCAATGCAAGCTGATGACTTGCGTTTACTAGGAATTCCTCGTTCAAGACTGAAAAATTGCAACAGTCTATCCCTACTAATTGGCTTGAAAACAATTCTTTTACAGCTACGATCTAGACTCAAGGTTCAGCCCTCACTCTACAATTTGCCACTTAAGACTATATTGAAAGCAGACAACCCAACCATGAGTTTACACTGTCCCATCGCGAGGCTTGGGCTACTTATTATCGTTGCTACCCGAATACAAAGTTTGCTTCAGACAAAAACTTGGATGCTAATTGTATTCTGGATAGCAATGATTTACATTACAGACAGAGTGCATGTGCTCAGCAGGGGCTAATGAAAACCAAATATCAAATGATAATTTCGATTGTAATAGTACTATTTTTGATAATAAATATTAGTAGTAGCTAAGGTTTCCAAAAGCTAAACTAATATTTGGATATAAAATCAGAGATTTAAAAATATTAGATTCTCATTGATATTTTTAAAATGTTCCCACTTAAGTACGTTTCGCGTCAGAACAGTATTGCTCTTTTATTTCACTGTGACACACACAGCCGATCAAAATGGAAAACTGCCTTTTGTTTGAAGTCGATAGAGCGAAATCAAGGTATTTGTTTTTGTTCTCTGCCGATAGACTCGTCCTCTATAAACCTGCAGCGCTAGATGAATGCGCTCAGCAGTGCTAACCCACGACACCAACCTTGCCGTGACTCGCACAATTGTCCTGGACTCCATCTCCCTCACTGTTAATTAGTAATACTTCAACAAGTCGAACGGTAAGGACGTATGATTAGTGGATTAAAACCGACTTCGCAATCCTTAAAAAATATTATATCATGTTAGCTAAAATTAAGCTGATTTTAAATAGAATTATTTCGTCTCAAAAGAAAATATATGATAATATGTTTTCTGTATTAGCTGATCTACCAGGTAATATGATTACTATATTAGCTTCACCAATTTTGGAGTTACCGGTACCATTGACCCCTGGTGTTCAGCTTGGTTCAACCGATTGCGGTCATTGTCCCAATAATCTAGACCAGAAATTCTCAAGGTACAGTCCTCACTCTGCAATTAGTTACAGGAACCACGATGAGTTTGCAATGCCTTATCTTGGCGCTTGGACTACTTATTTTCGCTGCTCGAAACAATACTTGCCTTGGACAATCTTTTCCCAGCTTGAGGGTTGTGCCTCATGTAGCCGCCGCAGCACCTACATCGAGCAGATCTCTTAGGTCTACATCCCCGACGAATGAAACGAGTATTGGAGACCAAGATAAAGAGGAGCGAGCTCAAGGCAAAAGAATATCGGCGGTTACGGAGAATCTGGCTTACAAGTTGGGGCTAAAAGCGCAGATTAAACCCGAAGCCTTCTTCACGCGAATCCATTTCTCCGAGACTGTCGGAAAGCTTGACGACAGCACAGAGTTCATGAGGTGGCTTCAGTATGTACTTAAGTACAGAAACAAAATGGGAGAAACCTCGTTCTCAGACGCCAAATTTGCTGCCTTGCTACGAAATGCAAAACCGGATGAAGAGGTATTGGAGCTGCTTCAATCCCTCCGCCGAGTCGACGGCATGAAGGATCTTGTTGATCGGCTGCAGACATACTTGTTTAAAATGTATCCATCCATTCACAACATGATGAACGAAGCGTGGCTGAATACCCGGCAGAACCCCAGAGAATTGTTCAACTTGGTACTTCCCCCAAATGGTTTCCAAGACCAGTATCTTATTCAATGGCTCAGATACACGGAGATGTACAAGACAGCGATGGGGGTCGATTCGTTTCCCATATACCAGATGAACGACCTCTTTCTGAGGCATTGGTCGATTCCGAGTTTGGTAGAACTTCTCCAATCGATCAAAAAAATTCCCGATTTGGAGAAGCTCGCCGAAAGTATGCAAGCTCAGGTGTTTCAGGTCTTATACGCGAGAGCGACACCGAAAGATTTCCAACATTTTTTATATGTCACAACCGGTGACGAAGAGTGACCCACTTTACGGCACGATTAAGGAGTACACCTTGTGGTATGCAGCACAGCGAGGTGGGGAGGGCACGGTGAAGCGAGTGAAAACGTTATTCGGCGAAAACAACATTAATGCTGCCCTTGTTGCTGCTGCGAACGTACAGCGATGATTTCGTAAGTAGATTTTAGGTTCACCTCACAAGGAAAGGACACACCCAAAGCTGAAAAATGATCCTCTTTTAAATATTTTCTTTTTTCCATTGAAGCCTTATCCCCAACAAGAATAAAACAAGAAATTTAAGGACAACCAAAAGTCTTGCTTGGCCTCAGTTTTGGTAGATGCTCCTGTAACGGGGTTACATAGTGTGGAACACACAGGGGTACGAAGTACCCGGAGAGTTAACAAACTCTCAGTACATAAGTTGGAGAGCTAACAAGGTCTCTCAGTACGTTGGCCGAAAGCCACACGTTATGCATTTGATTAGGTTTAACTATGCTAGATAGTTAAACAGATACATTTACCCCTAGGCGGCTTGGCCGCAATTATAGTAAATAAAACACTTCTGGTTTTAAAGCATTAAAGTTAAGGTGTTAACTTTGAGCCCTGGTCTTGGGCTGTAAGTGTCCTTTGGATAAGGAACTTAGTATTAGTGACTCTTTGAGTCGAACGTCTTCCTCTGACGCTAAAGCTACGGCAGCCCCGCTGCACTTGGTAGCACTTGTAGTCAATCCCGCTCCTGAGTCGGTTGACTATATCCTCTGCGAGGATGGAACACCCCGTGTTCGCGAATTCGCCCCCGGCGCAGCAGGACGCGCTTACTAAGCTTATGTCCTTGCTTGGCCCGGAGGGCGTGGCTCATCTTGCATCGCAAGGTCCAGAGGCGGTCACTGCCAGGCTGGAATCGTTCTCCCGCTACGAGAACGCGCTCTTGGAGCATGTCCAAGAGAAGATGAGCGCTGCAACGTCGGCGGCGTCGATGACGCGTGAAGAGTCTATGAGACTGAAACCGCTCATGGCGAGCGTAAAAACCTTCGAGGGGAAGGATGGAGAGAATCTCCTTCTCTGGACCCGTGAGGTCGAGATGGCCATGGGATCGGCCCTGCTCCAGTCTGAGCATCAGCGCGTGGCGCTGGCTATCTCCAGGCTTGGAGGTCGCGCTCGCGAATGGGCACTAACGTGCGGCACGTCCGTTGACGCTGCATTTCCCACTTAGGATAAGCTGAAGCAACAGACTTCGCGCGTGTTCGCGCCGCCTAATCAGGCGTACCGTATCCGGTCAAAGTTCCTTGCTACCCGCCAGGGTAAGAAGGATTTATTGGACTATGTCCAAGAGTTGAGAACTCTTATCGCCGGAATGGTGGCGAACCCTCTTCCGGAACTGGTCAGCGTGACCGTGTTCATGGAGGGACTTCGTGTGAGCGCAGCTCGAACGGAAGTGCTCCGTGTACACCCCAACGCTTTTGAAGAGGCGGTGGATGTGGCATTGAATGCCGAGCACAACTTCGGGTCGGCGCGACCTGGTTGGAGCCCTGGTAGCGCAAGCTCTTCGAGCGGTCCAGAGCCGATGAACCTCAGCTATGCTAAAGATAAAGAAGCGGAGCTTCGTGCTGCGGAGCAGCGCGCCGGCATCCGCCGATGCTTTGTGTGCAATAGCACTAAGCACTTGAGGGCCTATTGCCCTCTGCGCAAGAAGCGCGAGGCTCCGGCGAGCCACCCTCCGGGTCATCGCCGGGAAACGGCAACTCCCAGTAGGCGCGGGGCGGCCTACTGGGGAAGAACTGAGTTCTGTTGTGCCGCGAAGAGGTAGAGGGCAACGGGGCTCAGCCCCGAAGAGAGCTGAGCTCTCTTACGAGAAGGCTATGTGCAAGCCGGGCTTGCTGGTCGTTCAAGCGAACGTGAAGGGCTTTGCAAAGCCATGGAGAGTCTTGATTGACTCGGGAGCCTCAGGCAACTACGCCCGTCGCTCCACCCTGGAAGGGAGTCAGCTGTATGCTGAGGCACAGGAAGTGCCAACGAGAGATACGATCCCTGTCCGTCTCGCGACGGGGACACTGGTAACTGTGTCGAAGGTCACCTTGGAGTGAAGTTTGAGAGCTTCGCTAGCGTGGTCTTAGACCTGGATACGAGGTATGACCTCATTCTTGGCATGGCATGGCTGGAACGTCATGAGCCATGGATCGACTGGAAGTCGAAAACGCTGGGTGCGTCGCACCCTGCTCCTAGTGGAGCTTTGGTGAGTCATGAACCCACCTCTGCTAGGAAGCAGAAGCGCTTTTGGCGCGAGCACGAGGCCGAGGCGGCCGTAGTGCTGGACATTGGTATGTCCGAAATTGTTAGCAACGAGGTTGCTGTTTGCCCTGAGGGCGTACGTGGTGCGGCACGTTATCCGCGGAGCGGTGCAGGTCAGGTCAATGACCAACTGCTGGGTCCTGGTGAGGACGAGCGCGGAGTGGCGCGTAATCCACTGAGTGGTATGAATCTGGTCGATGACCTACCGCTGCGTGACCCGAGGGTCGCGGTCGACTGCGAGTCGAGGCATCATGGGCGTGGCCCAGGAGATGCAGGTGAAGTGACACCTAGTTCACTGTGTGAAGGTCAAAAACCTCTTGGCTTTCAGCCGAGTGTCTTGCGAGACACTGTATCCTCTTCGAGGAGTGATGGTGCTGCTGCACCCGGTGGTGGTGACGGAGATGTCGCCACACCGCCCTCATCCGACCGGGCTCGGTCGCGGAGGGAGAGGAGAAGAAGACGCAGGGCGTCTGTGACGTCTTCGACGTCGGACGATGTGTCCAACGTGACGAGCGGTGATGCTCCACGTGATTGCTGTGAACAGCTGTATACACTCGTTAAGGGAGTGACGGGGGAGGTAGAAGGCGATATCAGCCTTGACACTCTGCCCGCTGCGGATGCTCTTCTAGAGCTGGACGAGATGTCCATTGCCGAGTTCGGCGAAGCCTTAAAGGCAGGCGAGCTAGCCGAGGTGGTCCTGATGGGACCTGAGGAGGAGTTGAACTCCTCATCCGTCGTGGACGACGCGGTCCTAGAGGACACCAAGAAGGCGCTGAGCGCAAGAAGTGGATCGGCGATCCTTAAAGATCC